CGCGCTTCTTCCACAGACTCCGCCTCTGTGGAAAACTATATAACTAACGACTTCTTCCGATATCACCCCGACGTCGAAAATTGACAGAAGCGCTCATCATCATCAATGGAACGAGCTCATGTCGATCATCATCAGCACCACGCGCTGTAAATACCACAAACCGAACATTTCTCGATCTCGACAAAGCGTTTTCCCAAAATTCGTATGTTAGGACGTTGACCGTCTGATAACGTGATAACGTGATCAACAAAACGCGAAACTCGAGCGTCTGCCGCTCGCTGTTACATCGAGATCGAAGATCGCTACGCTGTAAACTGAAGTGTGTGTTACAATAATATGCTTTGAAGCGTGTTAAAGTATGTCTCCACTTTCGACATGCAAAATCAGCAAATTAAATTAACACATATATGTATGTTAAAAGAACATATTTATGTACATGTTAAATATAATCGTTTGTATGTGTGTTAATGGTTAGGTGTATTAAAATAACATGTGTGTTATGAAGGTGAGAATTGAGCAACATTGCACAATCCAAGTGTGTTATTTTGAAATGCACAAGCGTGTAAATGAATGAATTTTCTTTTTACACATTTTTTCTGTTTCAAGTCACGCGTTACTTAACATATCACGCTTGAACATATAATAATGAATAACATATAATTAATGATTTAGTCTGTAATAATACGGAAGCAAGTTATCATTGCATTAATTTGTTCAATAGATACAATAGATACTTTTTCGAAGGCGAGTAATCGCCGATTTTGTCGATTTGCGTTTTTCTCACATGTATTTCTTTTAATACACATATGTGTGTTCATTCAAACGTGTGTTAACAAAATTAGTGTGTTATCATGAACACATTACTAGTGTGCTACGTGACTTGATGCGTTATCCAATATATCATCCGAGTATGTTCTCAGTGTATCTCGATTGTCATTCTGTGTCTAAATAACACGCTCTGTGTGTGTCACGGGATTGTTGAGGAAAAGTAACACGTTTCTATACGGTGTTACATGGTGTGTTACAGTGACAAGTGTGTCATTAAAACACACTTTTGTCACAGAAAACGAATTATTTTGACGCACTTGGTGCCTTAACGCCAGCTAATGTGTCAAAATAACACACTAACACTCAATTTTAACACACATGTTCCGGTGCCTAGTTTTGCAGTGTATAAAGTGCCTTTATCGACGCTCTCCCGGAGACCTTTTCTTCAATCTGTTATCGCGATCTCTCTCTCTCTCTCTCTCTCTCTCTCTCTCTCTCTTCTTATTCCTCCTCCTCCCTGTACCTCTTTGCACGCAGATGACCGCCTAGGATGTTGCTACGCAAATTAATTTCGCGAGCGAGCGAGCACCGGCGCGCGCGCGCGCGCGTGAGACGCGGCGGCCTGCGTGAGAAATATCGCGGAATACGCACGCACGCAGGCACGCAGGCACGCAGGCACGCACGCAAGCGGTGATGCCTCGCGGTACGCGTAGGCGTGCGCGAGTTGCCAGACATTACCGCAAAGATAAACGACTCGTTACCCACGCGAAAGCTACCTTCCTTCCTCCTTGCGCTTATCCTGCCCTGCGCGCCCGCCTGCCTCTCCGCCCTCGAGCGAGTCGCATACAAATTCAATCCGGGCGTATCCGCTCGGATAAGTTTTATCGAGCGCGTTATTATCACCCGGCCGCGGCCGCGGATACCCGATCCCGATGCGTGCCTATGCAAATCGTCCAATTACGCACGCTGCTTTCCCGCCGCGGCCGCGATTTTCTCGCGACGAGCCCCTCCTTAACGGCGCGCCGGACGATAATAATCGGATAATTGTCGTCAGAGAGATCGCCCGGCCCGCGCGGAGATTTTCCCCGTGATCAACGGGTCGACCCGTCGTGGGTGGCGGAGGAGCGGAGAGTCTCGCCCGTCGTCGCGAGGATGCGCGACGACGAACGATTCGCCACGGGGACCGTGTCTCGGGTCACAGCCCTGCGCGATTCAACGACCCCCTCCCCTCCCCTCCTCTCTTCTCTTCCTCGTGTCAGGAGCGACGGAGATCCGGCAACAAAGTGTACATTTTTCAAGAGGGTACAATCGCGGATCGTCGAATTGGGGGAAAACGCAGAACCGCGATTGGTGCTATCCGCGTTCTTGCCGCTTCGTTACCTTGAAATTTCCTCTTTGAACCGCCTCATGAACGCGTGACAGAAACTCAGGCTCGCGCAGACTCATGTGTGCGTGTGTGTGTGTGTGTGTGTGTGCGCGAGCGAGCAAACGGAGAAAAATCGAATCGTGCATGAGGTGGACAAGCGTGGAGAAAGGGGCGGGGGTACGGTAAACGTATGATATCATTTTGCGGTTCGCGGAAATTCCGGGGCTTCAAATATTGGAACGCATATCTCTGCGGACAAACATTTATTTAACTCCTCCGCAGCCCTCCACCCTTCCTCCTCCTCCTCCTCCTAGCGACCTCGAATCGCGTCCGATTCCAATCCTCCGGGTTGCCTCTCGTCTTTCCTCTCGTTCGACTGCCCCGCATTTATTCGACATTCGCGCGAACGTGCCTTTGAGCGCGCGCGAAATGCAATCCGATCGAAGGCGGTGCATCGAGCGTTGATGTAGTGGTGCCGATTAATGGACTGGAAGCGATCTTGTTTCCAACGCATGTGTGTGTGTGTGCGTGTGTGTGTGTGTGTGTGTACGAGACCATTCCGGTCTTGATCAATCGCCGCGATGTATGCGCCCGTAGCGTCGCGTGCAACGCGCGCCGCGAGGAAAATCGATCCTTCGATTCTGATTTAGCGCCGAGAGTCCGGCTTCCAATTTAAATATCCGACGGTATAAATAAAATCGCTCCTGACAAATAAAGAATGCGCAATTACATTCTACGCTGCGAAACGATCTCTTTCTCGGCCTCTCCTCTTCCTCCTCTCCGCCGCTCCCTCCTCCCCCTCCAGCATTTTTGCAGCGTTCCTCCCTTTCATCGTCGCCGTGACTGCGCCGCCGCCGCGCGACGGCGGGCCGATCGAGAGCGCGGCGAATAAATTTTCAATAAACGGCGAAATATCGCGCGGCGCGTGGGAAGGAAGGATGATGAAAGCAAAAATAGCATGCGCTTCCGCGTTTCTCGATGCCATTGTTCGCCGTCATACTCACAACGTGGGTGAGCAGTCGCGTAGGTTCGGGGAGAATGGAAAGTCACCGAAAAGGCGCGGGTCTCGAAGCGGCTCTCAAAGGAGAACTAAATTTAACGCCGCGCGCTCGTCTCACCCCTCCCCGGGGAGTTTACCTGCGTTAATACTCAACGAGCACGGTTAGCCTTCACGGCGTTAACGTGAATTCGATACGCAGACCGCAAATATACTGCCGGGCCCGACGTGCATTCTCAACGACGGAAACCAGCGCCCGGTTTCTCCCATATTTTACCGCGGAATACCGCGCCATTAGATAAACACAGAACGTCTCGAGAGCCGGCGCTTCTAAAAATAGCCCAAAGTTCTCGGTCTCGCGGAAATTTAATTGCTTACGGCTGAAATCGGATGAGCAAGGCGGGACGAGAGAATCGATTTTACCGAATTTCCCCGAGAAATTGTCCCGAGAAAAATAAATACGCCCCATCGGCGTGGATTTGTTTCCGATACGCGGATCGCAAATATAGAATAGTTTCGTGAATTTTCATGAAACGTCGGAAGCAGATTCATGCCGGACGCGACACTAATCCGGAGATCAAACTCAATATTTCTCTGCACCGCGAAAGTCTAAAATATCAGCAGAGACGCACCGATTTCCGATCACTCACGTACAAATGAGATAATCAAACGAAGCTTAAATCGTCGCTCGACATCATTCGCACGGCGACCGGAGAGCGATCGCCGCGATGTGGAAGATTCAACCCTCGTCGCGTCGCGTCGCGTCGCGGGACGAATCGTAAAGCGCGATTTTCTCCCAGAATTACTCCGCATTTCGAATAAATTGCACCCCGTTGCGGCACAATCCAATTAAAAAACTTCTCCGCCGCGGACGAAAATGCTTTAACGATCGTTCGCACAATGACTCAACGTACTCAACGCGGGTCATTCTCTTGTTTTATCGCCGCGCGGCGCATTTAAATTCTGGCCTACGGACGATAACTATTCCCGCCATTCTGAATGCGCTATTCAGAGGGAAATTACCCCGTTGGACGCGCGCGCGCCTCGGGAATCACAAACTAAAGCGTGCTAATTGCCGGACGGTGCGGGGACTTTTTTGCGCTGACGTATCCTTCCGTCGCATTACTTCGAGGTGGGTCTCCGTTTAACGAGAATAACCGTTCCGAGTAACACGGACCTTCCTCTCTCCCTCTGTTTCATTCGCTCTCTCACTCTCTCTCTCTCTCTCTCTCTCTCTCTCTCTCTCGCTCTCTTCGAGACTCGCGTCGCGAGTTTCCCTGCTGCGCGACACCGAGCGCGACGTTGAGGAAACGCACGCGCGCGCGCCACCCTCTTCTCACCTAAATATCCTTCATTAGCCCAGTGGCTGCTCCCTACGTTCTACGGCTTGTCCGGTCGTGCGATTATCCGCGCGACCGCGAGGGGCTCGTAAAGACGCGCGGTCTATTCCGTAATAAGGGCCAACTTCAGGTAGCTTGCGCAAGAAAGCGCCTGCATCCCCGGGATGCAATTAAGCGGCGCGCAATTAAGTGGCGCTCCGTCATTGCGCGCGCGGTTTAAATAAATTACGCCAATCCGGCAAGTACGAGAGATATGGACGCGCGCTGGCGCGACGTATCGCGAGTCAGTCCCGAGATCAATCCTGAGAACGCACCCCGCGAGATTTTCCAGAGGAATCTCCGCTGTCGGAGGGGTCGACGGGGGGAGCGCAGCTCCGCGCAGGCGATCGCAACGAAATGGCGGTCTCGCGATATCGCGATAGCGCAGTGCATAACGGAGCGACGCGAGCTCGTCGGTTATTATTATTTCAGCGAGACGCAGCGGCGCTTGTTATTAGCGATATCTCGCGGCCTCTCTCTGTCCACTCACCTCTCGTGGAAGCCTTCGAATTCCTCCTGCTGCTCGTTGATCGAGGCCTCGAGGTCCAGGTAAGCGCCATAATCGCCGCCCTTGTACAGCTGGAGCGCCGTGTCGTCGAGCTGCAACACAGGTAGCACGCACGGTGCGTTGAGAAACGCGGCTGTTTTGCGTGCGGTCGCAGCGCGCCGATAATCGCGCCGCGGAAATTATTGCCGCTTCGACGGCGGTCGTTAGCCGGTTTTCGCATAACCGCTGTCCGCTTAAGAGTCGTGCGATGCGGCTTTTAAGCGATAGCGGCGAGCCGCCAACTCTACGGCGAGTGGTGCGATTCTTAAGGCGAGATTCTGCTCGGACGGCGAGCGAATCGATCGGTGCTGGAAGGACCGTGTGTCACTTCCCGCAATTTTTCGGCAAGTACAGAGCTCTGCCGACACACACACACACACACACACACACACGTGAGACGGGCGAACACGTTGATATTGAGAAATATTTGTTCTTACATCCAAATCTTCAACATATCTTTTTATACATTTTTAGTGCTGAAAGCTTTTAGTTTTATCAGGTTTTATCCTACGAATAATCAAGTTTTGCCTTATGAATTTCTTTATAAATTCTCCATAAGCGTTTCATTAAATTTTTTAAGTCAGGGATACCGCAGCAGTATGCTCGACTTGTTGAAATTAACAAGTCGTTACTTTTTATTGCAACCTTTTCTTCTCAATTTCTGCTAATTCAATTTTCATTTCTGTTTGCCATCAGATGTTCATGCATCATGCACGATAAATAAAGAAATTTACGCACGAGCAATATCCACGATTTGACAGTTTAAATTATTCGACTGAGCCGCGAATTGGGAAATGCAAAGTGTCACGAGAACGAAACACAGTTTAATGCAATCGATCGACTTCCGATGGAGAAATGACAACTCGTTGATTAGAACGACCATCTTCCCTCATTGAAAGAGCCTCAAGGCTTCCGGCGGACGAATTGAGCGCACGTATAGGAGCCCCTCACACGGGTCAACAATCCAGGCTAATACGGCTAATCTGCTAAATTTATCTGCGGATCACTTGATCCACATACGCCGTTCCCATATGCGCGCGACGATAATCACTCGACTTAGAATCGGCGGGCGGTTCTCACGAGAAGCGAGTCTGCCGAGTCGCGTAACCTCGTCTCTGAAAATACCGCGAGTGGAAACGAAAGCAGGCGCAATCGCATGGCAATCGTTGATAACACGAAGACAACCGCGGAGGTGATGTGAACAAGCAACGGCGACAGCCATCCGACCGCGGCGGATACGGACCGCGAGAGGTCTCCAGCTGTCGGCGTCCGGAAGAAAATCGAGATTTACCTTCGGACAGGCCGCGGCACCCTCGACACGCCGTATCTCAGCGATTTCATCGGCCTGCTTTTCGCGCACTCTCCTCGGGAAAAAGCACGCGACGGCGGAAAAAGCTGAGCACGCGGAAGCAACAAGTTGGCGGCGTCTCTCCGCTTTTGACGCGTGGTCGCGCGCGCGGCGAGGCGGAGACCGTCGCGAACGGGAAGTCGCGTCGCGACTCGGGCGAATCGGGAGTCCCTAATCTTAACCGCCGATTCCGTAATCCGTCGTCGGCCCGGTTAAAATCTCCCGCCTCCCTCCGTGCGAAGGGCCATAAAAGTGTAACGGCCGGACGATCGCGCCGGCCGTCGACATAAATCTCGCGCTCGCACGATCCCTCCCTCTCTCTCTCTCTCTCTCTCTCTCTCGTTCGCAACGGCCGAACGAGCCGACGAATCGACCAGCGATAAATTCCCAAAGGTAAGTAACCCCGCGACGACTTTCTTCCGCGGCGCGCGTGCTTTTTTTAGGCTCGGTCCCTTCCTTCGCGAGATTAAGATCCACGCCAGGTCCAGCGCGCGGCACGTTGCCAGCAATAATGGTGCGCGCCGAGCGACGCGTTTTTAGGTGAAACCTAAGGCGAGAGTGTGAGCAAGACAGACGGAGAACAATCGGAGACCCGCTCTCTCTCTCTCTCTCTCTCTCTCCCGGCCGTTCTCTGCCAAGTCTATTTTTTTCCAGATATTTCTCCGCCATCGCTGCACCCCCCGAGAGTGACCGTTATTTATCGATCGTTGCGCGAGAAATACGCGGGCCAACGGGAGGCAAACGGATTCGTGGCGGCTGGGCGGCTCACAGAGAGAGAGAGAGAGCCGCGCGCGGCTCCTCTTCCCATTCGAGATTTCCTAATCAACTCCGGCAGAGCGGAGTAACCTGAGACCGCTGTCTGAAACGCGAAGCCGTACACCCGAAGAATGATCGGACTAGACAATTACGCGTGCGCGCGCCTCGCCGAAGCGCTCGCGTCGCGTAAAAGTGAGGAAGAATCGACACGCGCGTTAATTATAGCTCGGAGCCGTCCCGTGCGAGACGCCTCGCGCGCGCGCGCGCGCCTCACGTTAGCGGGCTTTACGGTAAATAAAGAAGAGCGGAAGAGAGAAGAAGACGCGAGAGAGAGAGAGAGAGAGAGAGAGAGAGAGAGAGAGAGACGACGGGGCGCGAGAGATGCGTTGTTGACCTATATCTCGAAAAATCTCAGCTTCAAAATAGTCGCCGGCGTCGCCGGCGCGGCGCAGCGAGCTGAGCCGCGGCGGCCGGTTACAAGATGCCGGTAGTTCGCCGGCGTTGCGTTACTCTCCGGTGCCCCGTGGCGTACCGCATGCGGGTGAAAACCGCACGCATGCTCGCACGCGAGCAATTACGCAACGTGTTGCGCCACGTTCTCGGCGCTCCACCGACGGGACGCCATCTTCGCCCTTTGGCGCGCCGGTTCACCGGAAGGACGCGCTTGGTACGCCGCGGTCTCTGTATACACGAACGTCAATCGCGGGAAATTGCAGCGCCGCGCGAATTAACTTTTGATTACAAAACATCCATCCGCTGAATTACTCCGGACGTAACTCCGCAGACATAATTACCGGCTCAACTCTCCTCGCAGCTCGAATACCGCGAATACGGCGCTCGCTGATCCTCCGGATTCGTATGTTTTAATATCACGCAGCGAGGCAGAGGACGGAGGATGATTTATACTCCCATTGATACATGCACGTCCTATCAAAATATCCTGCGTGTTTTTTAACGTCACGCGCTCTCTGTCTCTTCTTTTCTCTCTCTCTCTCTCTCTCTCTCTCTCTCTCTCTCTCCCTCTTTCCCTCTTTTTTTCAGCACAAATGAAAGGTTCCCCGCTCGCACGCGCACGCGTGGTCGTCTACAGCACGAGGTGAATTGACACGAAAGCGAGCGGTTATTTTAGCTGTTGCCAATAGCATCGCGTCATGCTTGCGCAAACGGTGATTAATGGCGAAGAAAATATTGTTATCGAGACCGGAATACAGAATGATGGCTGATGCTGATCGGTGAGAGTACATCCCATCCCGGGGAGTTATTTTTTTGCTAAGCTAGACCTCACGTGACACGTGAGTTTAACTAGTCGCTCCGCGCAAATTGGCACGAGTCTAGGTGTAACGCGTAACCGAAAATATCCTTCTCCAAATTTGCCGTATCGCCGGAACGCTAAGAGATAGGCGCAGACATTCTTCGCCGTTCGGTCAGCAAGGCGCGCTTTCACGCGGCCGAGACGTGCGATTAGAACCCTCCGACAAAATGACGACGAGACGCGCGCGAATAGCTTGGCGCAGCGTTCAATTTGCTTCCGGCTCTCTCGCGCGACCAGTACGACACATTCTCCGATATTTCTCACAAAAACGACCCTCTTGACCCCGCGACTCGGCTCGATCGAGCTTCAAACGGTAGTCGAGCAACATGTGTTGACGTAACGATTCGAGTAGCGTGTAAACGTCTCGTCCCTGCGCCAAGTCGAATAGGGCCCTTCCCTTTCCTCGAGTGTATTTTCCACGGATATTCTCTCTCTCTCTCTTTCTCTCTCGTCTCGCAGGCTTTTCCTCCTTCCGCATGCCCGTAGGATCACGTTATTTGCTCGAAACCCGCCGAGCGATTCGCAAACTCCCTGTTGTCGCTCGTCTCGAACCCTCCGAGTTTCTATCGGCGAATCTTCTTTCGGCGGACACGCGATGGAAAGGGAGACGCTGATTACGAGTCTCGTAAATCTCGCCGACGTCAGCGAGACGGGACTGAAAAGTATTCATTTGCATCGCGACGCGGGCGTGAGAGAAAATCTGTACGAAATTTCCCTCCCCGAAAAACGGGCGGAGAGAAATGCCAAGTCATGCGTCATGTAAATGACATCCCCCGACGAGGGGTCTTTAAGGGTCGCCGGTGATTCAAAGCTTGAGGAAAGCTGCTCGATCAAAGGAAGCCCCTCCTCCTCCCATCGAGGCCGATACTGAGATCAAGTTAAACACAACGGTGTCGAATTTCCGACGAAAGAGTGGAAAGAATGTGGCCGGCTCGCGACTGCCGAGCGATCTCGCCATCTATAATTTCTCACGGCCGCTACGTCGCGTACGACTTTCCTCGGAGACAATGTCGTAAACAGGAAGGCGGCTGCCATTTTATCGTGGGAGTAATTAAAATGTATAAGCGCGCGAGCGCGAGCGGTCCGATACGAGATGTACGCCCGTGGGAGCCCGAGGCACTCTTATTAATTAGCGCAATTAATGGTAAAAATAGATTTTAAGAACAAGTCGGAAGTGTCGAGAGACACAAGAATAACGAAACCTGAGAGGCAGGCCGCCGAGAGACAATTAACCGCGGCCCGCTCGCGCGTTCTGGCCCGAGTCGTTCTGCTCGACTGTGCGAAACTTTCACGACTACCTTGCTTTTTTTTCCGCGTAATACCGCGCGCCGCGCCAGGGAGAAGGAAACGAGGAGAGAACGCGTGCAAATTCATTCGCGAGAGAACACGGGTTTAAGGGGACAAGCGCGTTCCGAAATAAGTCTAGGCTGAATTTAAAGTAAAGCGTCGACATGCTTTCGCGATGAGCAAGGTGTCCTTCCCGAAAGGCACTCTAAAAAAGAAAAAAGACGACTGAATTCTAATGTCTCATTTTCAAATTCTGCTATCAGAGAAATTTTAATAAAAGACTTTCTCTCTCTCTCTCTCTCTCTCTCTCTCTCTCTCTCTCTTTCCTGATAATCAAATGGTTTGTGATC